TACTTATTCATTACCAATTATTCACGATGCTGACAGCTATGAGACCATGAAAAACAGTTTATCTGAAATAGTCCCACTTCCTGTTACTTATTTCCTCATTCTTTTTCATCATTTATACCTTGATGCCTTGAAGTTTCACTGAAAAATGTTCTCCCTTCTAGTATAATTTCTACCTCAGGCAACATGTTGCCTTCTATGTCCCGCTGCCCCTTTTATTCCTTCATTGTTCTCCCCTCGGTCTGATTCTTTAGATTCTGTGAGTTCTTTTTGTTTACTCATTCAGCCGCCGTAGAATAAATATTTCATTAAAAGTAGGTGAAGTCGTGGATGAGTCAGAGTGCAGGCTGAAGCTGCAGGAAGTAGGGATGCAGAACGCGGTGATTACAGGAAGAAGGAACTCATCAGGACGTTGATTTATTTGGAAGGTGAGATCCATTTGGGTCCAAACTTGCAGCCTAAAGTCCGTTTGTATTGGTGAAATGAACAATGTTGACTTATTGTTAAAAGAAGATTAGAAGAGAAGCAACAAAGGCAGAGAGATGATTGGGGGGGCTAATAGCGGTCTGTTTCAGTGAAATGGCACCTAAACAGGAAAGTGAGTTATGTAAGGCATCTGGCTTTTAAATTGGTGTCCTGGTTCTGAAGCTGTCCTGGTCCGGTTTGATCTCGGCCCAAACGGGGAGCAATTAATGCCTCTGTTCTGGTGAATGGCCTCAGCTGACTGCAGCCAGGAGAAATGCATTGCCCCATACCTGTCTATGTCTCTGAAAGGGGAGTTATTAAAGGGACAGAGATATAGCCTGTTATGGGGCATATTGCAGGCTAACAAAAATGGTTGGACCCGTTGGTCCATTTCAATTTGCACGTTCTAAAGGTTTTGTTGGCTACTGTATAAAACCTCGAACTCCACTCAGATTTCTATTTTTGGAACGACTATGACCTGGACGGCTTAGCACCTTCACCGGCACATAGTTCTACATCTCTGTTAATTGGAAACCAGACGACTTTAACAGATTTTATTCATCTTTTTCATTTAGTAACATCATAGGTTTCTGTTCTCTCCCATCGTATAAATACATTTAATGAGTAATTTTTTTTTCTTCTTACAGTTGGCAAAATTTTTTTTTATTCTGCATATAAAAAACATGAATCCTCGCAGTTGTGAAAGAAATCCTTTCAATACTTCAAAAAAGTGAGGTTTTTAGCAAAATGGCTGCTTTTCAATGAATCCCTAGTTGATCGATAAGATCAATCAGCTTTAGAGTCATTCATTAAACCATAACTAATGCAGTACATTCCAAAAACAGGTTTCTTCATCTGCAAACGGTGAAATGATGACTTCCTGCTATGACGGATTCAGACCGTTTTATTGCCGCTGGGTTCAGAGAGGCGAGATGTTTTCAGATATCATTTTCTCTGTCTGAACGGGTTTGAATCTGGATGTTTATCAGCAGAGCTTCACCTCACACAAAATGGAGTCTAGCATTTCCTAAAGCAGGAAGTGTTCATCACACGTGTCTGTGCGCACACGCTGGGCCGTAAAAAACCCACCTCTGCTGCCAGGAGATGCTGTGAGGACGAAGAAGCGTCAGAATAAGAGTCTGGCTGGTAGAAGCACAGGATTCCTCTCAGCTGGGGCCTGAGCATCCAGTCGGATCCAGATCAGGAGGGCGATGGTGAGACCAGGTGCATAAAGACGGGACATTTTCCACAGCTGGAGACGCCAAGTGCTCATCTCTTCCCTGACTTCCTTCTCCTTCAGTCATTCGGTGGAAATTTACCGCTCCAGTTCTCCACCATGATTGCTTCGCTTTTTCTGTTTCCACATTTTTGCAAAACAAACGAGGAAGTTTTAAAGGAGGAAGTAAAGTGGCGCCTTAGTTTAGATCTCATCTCTGCCCTCACTTTAGACTCTTTAGTCAGTATAATAAACATTCTAAAGCTTTCTTTTTCATCGATTATTCATTCCTAATGAGCTGAACAGAGAAGCTCCTTCTTTTTTAATAATATTCTCCAGTTTCTGCTGTTTCTAAAAATGATCCATGAAGGAATCGATATCATCAATAAACTGTAATGAATTTCATCTGTAGAGGCAGATGAAGTGAACAGAAAGGGACTAGAGAGCGAGCTCATGGCGGGTCGGTCAGACGATGTGACCATAAAAGGTCTGAACTGGAACCTCAGTCCTCCTGAGCTGAGCTGTAGGTTAATCTCCTCTAATCTGCTGCAGGCTGTTTTGCAGAACTTCTGCTCATAAATCCCACCAATCCTTTTCAACCACAGTTTTTCGTTTTCTAAAGATTGGAAATATGAATTCTATCATCTAAAGTTTGTCTTTTAAATTCTCTTAATAATATCGAACAAATACTGATTACTACAGGTACGTTGTTACCGACGTCGCTCGCAGTAACGACGTGTAAATGATGCAGTTTGCAGTGAAAAACGGAGCAGATGAGCTGGAGGCCTGCTGGTCTGGATTTCTTCACCTGCAGAATATTTTTTATAAGCGCTGTCCCCCATTTAACCCCCCCCCAACAGATGGACACAGAAATCTCAGCCTCAGGAAGGTTTCCATTAAAAAACTAGCGACTAAAGTCTGATTTAAACGATAAAGCCGGTATTCTGTCAAACCAGCATGGGTCAGATTTGGGTTTATCCCTTTAGTTTTGTACGAAAAAAAACTATTTAAGGTCAGATCGCCATACAGTCCAAGGAAAACACCAAAAAGTAATTAAATTAGTTTTGTAGAAAAAAATAGGAAAAAACAAATGGATAAACTAAAGGGAAACGCCCCCTTTGAGGTAGTTTAAACTAGGGATGCACGATATTGGGATTTTGGCCGATATCCGATATGCCGATATTTTAAAACTCATGTAGCTGATAACCGATATCGATACCAATGTTAAAGCTGGACAAAAATAAGTAGTCATTGAAAATAGCAGTTTTGTTATCCATTTCTGACACTTTAAAAAATAACATACTCAAATATATATTCATATGCTGATATCAAATAGATTTTTAAAAACGCGATATCGATCTATTTTACTTTCAAAATCTCGTGAAATTTCATCGTTCTGTTACAAACTCTCGTGATATTTTGCAAATTCTTGTGAGATTTTGTT